TGGAGAGGCATCGACGTCACCTAAGCGGGACTGATGTGTGCCAAGTATGTAGAGGATGAATTGAGACAATTATACATGTTCTTCGGGACTGCCCGGCGATGGAAGGTATATGGAATAGACTTGTTCCTATTAGGAAGAGACATACTTTTTTCTCAATGAATCTATTGGAGTGGATGTATATGAATCTTCAGAATAATGAGAGGATGGATGGAACAAGATGGTCCACAACGTTTGCGATGGCAGTATGGTGAGGGTGGAAATGGAGATGTGGTAATGTCTTTGGGGAGAACAGACTTTGGAGAGATAGAGTTGGCTTTCTTCGAAGATTGGCTAAGGAGATCACAACGGCGAATGCGGCAGCACACACAAACACTAGTACTGGCCGAAGGATGGAAATAATGGTCAATTGGATACCACCTAGAGTGGGGTGGATGAAGATTAACACGGATGGGGCCTCACACGGGAATCCGGGCCTGGCAACCGCGGGGGGAGTATTACGTAATGGGGATGATGAGTGGTGCGGAGGTTTTGCCCTGAATATCGGTAGATGTAGTGCCACGTTGGCAGAGTTATGGGGTATTTATTACGGACTTGTGGTAGCATGGGAGTGAAGACCTCGGAGGTTGGTAGTCGAAGTTGATTCGAGAGTGGTGTTTGAGTTTTTTTATGACTGGGATCGGTGATACTCATCCTTTGTCGTTCCTAGTACGGTTGTGCTATGGCTTTTTGACGAGGGACTGGATAGTCCGTTTTGTTCATGTTTACAGGGAGGCTAACCGCTTAGCTGACGGGGTGGCTAACCTGGCTTTTTCTTTTCCGTTTGGTTTTCATAAACTTGATGTTGTTCCTTCTGAGGTTGCTGTTTTGTTGATGGAGGATGTCGTTGGTCCCCCTCGGCCAAGGCAAACTCGTGTTGTAGACTGAAGTTTGTTATTTTTAATATAAGTTGGGAGTCTTTTCCCAGCCTCTTACCAAAAAAAAAACAATCATAAAATCATTTAACAAGTAACGTTCTTAAACAATAATTATCTTATTTCTATCGCATACAATTTAATATATTGACACACTAGTTTATTTATCAGTTCATTTGTAGTTCTTGCATTTTAATCTTTGTACTAGATTTTGACCCGCGCTTTAAAAGCACGGATATATTTTTCCATTTTGATAAAATTTATTTAAATTAATTATTCAAACAAAAAATTTTAAAAGTTGTTTTATTAATATTTAAAATATTCTATTATAATGTTTGATTTTCACGTAATGTTTTCATATCCGATTCAGATCCATAGTTGAACCGGTACATCCGGCAACTTTTATATAATCCAGTTAAGATTTAATTAAAATTTACTAATTAAAAATTTAAGCCAACCGGTATATATCTTAACACCCGCTATTAATATGTATTATGATATCCGTTGATCCGTTAAATAACCCCATAAAAACTGATAATATATTTTTAAAAATTTGTTAAATAACTCATATTTTTAATATTAAAGAAAATTGATTTTTTTCTAATTTCTTTGATAAAAACTTTCTTGTCATTTGAAAAAATGAAACAATGACAATAGAAAAAAAAAACAAAATTTATTCATATGACAATATTAGTTTCTTTTCGTTATTAATAACCTATGATAAGTTTACATTTTTACTCATTTTATATCTAAAAATTAGTTTTTATAATAAATTGAATTGACATATCATTATTATGGATAAAATGACACAATAAATAATAATTTTTAATTTTTAATCGCTAAATAATATGATGAACGGAAATATGATATTAAAATTAAATAGAAAATCAAAATTTTCATAAAAGGAAATTATTATTAATCAGAAAATAGGAAATATTATCAGTTACCATAAATATAGGAGATATTAAATTGCTTAGTTAATTAATATTCTAAAAATAAATAGTGGTTTTATCTTATAAATATGATAAAATCTAGGGGTAGAATCCAAAATTTTAACAATAGGATCATGTTTTAATAGTATAGATTTTTAATATTAAAGAAAATTTATTTTTTGTAATTTCTTTAATAAAAACTTTCTTGTCAATTGAAAAAAATGAAACAATGGTAATAGAAAAAAAAAACACAATTTATTCATATGACAGTATTAGTTTCTTTTCGTTATTAATAACCTATGATAAGTTACATTTTTACTCATTTTATATATAAAAATTAGTTTTTATAATAAATTGAATTGACATATCATTATTATGGATAAAATGACACAGTAAATAATAATTTTTAATTTTTAATCAATAAATAATATGATGCACGGAAATATGATATTAAAATTAAATAGAAAATCATAATTTTCATAAAAGGTAAATTATTATTAATTAGAAAAATAGGAAATATTATCAGTTACCATAAATATAGGAGATATTAAATTGCTTAGTTAATTAGGATTCTAAAAATAAATAGTGGTATTATCTTATAAATATGATAAAATCTATGGGTAAAATCCAAAATTTTAACAATAGGATCATGTTTTAATAGTATAGATAGATTTTGACCTGCACTTTAAAAGCGCATGTATATTTTTCTATTTTGATAAAATTTATTTAAATTAATTATTCAAACACAAAATTTTAAAAGTTGTTTTGTAATATTTAAAATGTTCTATTATAATGTTTGATTTTCACGTAATGTTTTCATATCCGATCCAGATCCATAGTTGAACCGGTACATCCGACAACTTTTATATAATCCAGTTAAGATTTAATTAAAAATTTACTAATTAAAAATTTATGCCAACCGATATATATCTTAAAACTCCCTATTAATATGTATTATGATATCCGTTGATCCGTTAAATAACCCCATAAAAACTGATAATATATTTTTAAAAATTTGTTAAATAACTCATATTTTTAATATTAAGGAAAATTGATTTTTTGTAATTACTTTAATAAAAACTTTCTTGTCATTTGAAAAAAATGAAATAATGGTAATAGAAAAAAAACACAATTTATTCATATGACAATATTAGTTTCTTTTCGTTATTAATAACCTATGATAAGTTTACATTTTTACTCATTTTATATCTAAAAATTAGTTTTTAAAATAAATTGAATTGACATATCATTATTATGGGTAAAATGACACTGTAAATAATAATTTTTAATTGCTAAATAATATGATGCACGAAAATATGATATTAAAATTAAATAGAAAATCATAATTTTCATAAAAGGAAAATTATTATTAATCAGAAAAATAGGAAATATTATCTGTTACCATAAATACAGGAGATATTAAATTGCTTAGTTAATTAAGATTCTAAAAATAAATAGTGGTATTATCTTATAAATAGATAAAATTTAGGGGTAGAATCCAAAATTTTAACAATAGGATCGTGCTTTAATAGTATAGATTGGTGAATTAAGTTATTTTCGTGCAACTACTAAATAATATCATTATTAAAAAATTACAAAATGATTAAAATTTGCATCAACGAAAATGATGAAATGATAATATTGTTAAAAATTAAAAATTGTGTATCTCGCCAAACTTGGCTATGGTTGGAGCTTCTCTACACGCCAAACTTGGCTATGGTTGGAGCTTCTGTACATTAAGACAACAAATGGTTGTGATTGTTTATGAATTAATTAAAATGAGGTGAAAAACAATACACACAAAATCGGATCTTTAGTTTAATCAAGTATTACTTTTCTTTACACAGTTTTCATAGCAGATCCAGAATTAGACACTTAATCTAACTCAGAAAAGTTAAAAAAAAAAAAAGAATATTCATGAAATTGACTGAAAAAAAATTCAGGTGCCAAGTAAAAAGATCAAATTATTTTTGACGCAGCTCTAACACTCATTCACTCAATTGTATCATGTTTTGATTATATTTACCAAGACTTTTTTTTTAAAAAAAAACATGCATGTTATTGGTTTATACTATGTCAATTTTACATCATGTCCAACAATATTGACATGACGTCCAACTATTTTTATTAGTATTCTTAAAGTGTGATCCAATAATTATGTATGTTAAATAAGTTCATATTATTTGTTTTATATTATTTTATTTTATTTTGTTTTATATTAGTAGAAAAAAGTAAGTTAAGGTAAAATATTTGGATCCAAATAACCAAACCAAACTTGATTTGAACTAATATTAAACACAAACTAAAACAGATTAAGATAGATCTCAAAGTTTTTTTTTGTCAGAAATCTAAAAATTTAATATCCGGATAACCATTCCCAATCTGATTCAAACTGAAGATTTGTATACCGAAAATATCTAAAGCACACTTATTTACCTAAATATATGAATTCTTTTAATTTTTATACTATTAGATATTCAAAATCTGAAAATATTTAAAAATTATCAAAATAGACGCAAAGAAATATCTAAAAGTAACAAAAAATGTTCAAAATACTAAAAATATATATTTGTTCTCCATCCTAATATTTAAATTGAATTTATTTGTATGTAAATTTAAGTTTTTAGTCTTATATTATACAAATTTTTATGTTTTATTATTTTTATTTTTGGATTTTGAGCACTTAAATATATTTGAACCTTTTTAAAAAAATTACATAATTAAAATGGAAACGTGAATCCAAATCCGAACCGAAGCTGCAACGATCGAACCAAACTCAAACCAAAATTTGTAAATATCTGAATCAGATTTAAAATTTTAACTCTAAAAATCTGAAATTTGAATACTCTGGATACCTAAATACTCATCCCTAAAAAAAACTATATGACAAATTCCTTAATACAATGTAAAATAAATAATTTAATAAACTATGTCACTCCTCCGCATAGTGTTACCAATAATCTATCAACATACAATAAATATTAAAATAAATAGTTGTAAACTTATATAAGAATCCTGGAATGCTTTCTGAAAAACTAAAGCATTTTTTTTATAAAAAAACTCGTATAAAAAGCAATGATTCTCTAAAAAGCTAATATCAATAATTATTAAACTTGTAGAAAATTGTTTGCTGAGTTTTTTATTTTTTTGTTAAAACACATCTCCCCAAAACTGATCTCCTTCATCCTCGATATCATTTTCTGGTTTAGCCTGAACAGTCTTCCACAAACCGGTCTCCGCCTAATGCTTCTCCATCTCCGATCTCAGACACCTCCTCCATTCATCATCGCCTTAAAAGGTAAACCATTTCTCTGACCAATGTACTCTCATTTTCAGTTCTTGGTGATACAACCAAGAAACAAAACCAATCTCATCTCACGACCAATCTTGTTTCTATTTAGGGTTTTGATTAATTCTTCCGACAAGAAACAAAAAATATTCCATCATTGTAATTAAAAAAAAAAAAGATCCGAAAATGTTCAACAAAATCATAAAGAAATTCACCAAATCAGATCAAGAAACCACCTCCACCGTCAACACCGTCGTCCGCAGCAGCCGCCCCCCAACCACCGCTACCACAGCTCCAACACCAAACGGCGAATCACAATCCACAGCTCCGTCGCCTTCACAGACACCAAACCAGCCAATGTTCACAACACCACCTTCCCTCGAAGTACTCCCCTTACTAAAAGACGTCTCTTCCTCAGACCGTCCTCTCCTCTTCATGAAGAAGGCTCACATGTGCTCTTGCCAATGCGACTTCTCAGACTCACTGATCATGCCACGAGAGAAAGAGATCAAAAGACAGACACTCTTAGAGCTAGTAGACTTCCTCCACTCATCCTCAGGTAAAGTGAACGAAACGATGCAGAGCGAGCTCATAAGAATGGTCTCAGCTAACATCTTCCGTCCTCTCCCACCTGCGCATTACGAGAACACTGGAGCTCCTCCTGAAGGGAACGATCCCGAGGAGGAAGAGCCTTATCTTGAGCCATGGTGGCCTCATTTGCAGCTTATCTACGAGCTTCTCTTGCGTTACGTTGTCTCTTCAGAGATAGAGCCCAGGACTGCTAAGAAGTTCATCAACCACACGTTCGTGTCGAAGCTACTTGATTTGTTTGACTCTGAGGATCCTAGGGAGAGGGAATATTTGAAGACTGTGCTTCACAGAATCTACGGGAAGTTTATATTTCACCGTCCTTTCATTAGATGCTCTATCTACAACATCTTCTACAAGTACTTGTATGAGACTGAGAGGTGTGTTGGAATAGGAGAGTTGTTGGAGATTTTGGGAAGTGTGATCAATGGTTTTACAGTACCAATGAGAGAGGAGCATGTGTTGTATCTTGTGAAAGCTATTTTGCCGTTACACAAGTCTAAAAGTATATCTATTTATCATCAGCAGTTGTCTTATTGCGTGACGCAGTTTGTGGAGAAAGATTACAAGTTGGCTGATACTGTGATCCGTGGGTTGTTGAAGTATTGGCCCCTGACGAATTGTAATAAGGAGGTTCTGTTCTTGGGAGAGTTAGAAGAGGTTTTGGATGTTACTGAGCCTTCAGAGTTTCAGCATTCTGTTGTTCCTTTGTTTACAAAGATTGGGAAGTGTCTTAACAGTTCACACTTTCAGGTTTGTTTGTTTCTCAACTTTTTTTTGTCTTTTGATAGTGTGATGTGTGTTTGATAAAGAGAGGTGTAGGTAGCAGAGAGAGCTCTTTTCTTGTGGAACAATGAGCATATCGTTGGCTTGATTTCTGAGAACAAAGATGTGATATTCCCTATAATCTTTGAAGCGTTGGAGAGGAACATGAAAGGACATTGGAACCAAGCGGTGCATGGTTTGTCTGAGAATGTTAGGAGAATGTTTATGGAGATGGACACTGAGTTGTTTGAAGAGTGTGAGAAACGACATGCGGAGAATGAAGCTAAGGCTTGTAAGTTGTTGGAACAAAGAGAAATGACATGGAAGAGACTTGAAGAAGCTGCTTCTTTAGCTTCAAAGTAATGGCTTTTTTTAGCTGTCTTCTTGGTTTACAAGAGTAATGTTTTTTAGAAACTTTCTAATAATTTGTTTTATTCTTTTATTTCATTTGTTTTTTTGGTCCCTTGTAAATGGCGGCCAGGAAAGATGAATTCACATGTCGTCGACCAGATTGTCATAGAAGTTAAGTTTAGTGCTGTTTTATTGCAGCTTCTGAAAAACTTGGTAGCAATCAACTAAGTGATTTACAAGGACAGTCGACGGTGACTATGTTTATTTGACTACTCTTAGATCAATGTTTTAAAGGCTTTGGACGATATATGAACCAATACTTCATACCAGAATATGACAACATATCTTAGAAAACTTCTGCCATGTTCTAACAGAAAATATCATTTTCTCTTACAGAATTGACATTAAAATAGAGCATTTCCAATGTATTAATCTGTTTTTCCCTCCAAGTAGAATAACTTTAAAATAAAGCTGAGTTTTAGTTATCAAATTTTATTTTGGATTAAAAATAGAATAATAAACAAAAATATAAAATGATGAATATATTTACTCCAAGTTTTAAGAAATTTTATTTTCCACTCCAAAACATTTGACTCCATTAGTGTAAATTAGTAGAGTTAAAAAAAACTTAATTAAAAAAGGAAAGAAGAACTATTCTCTCTCTAAAAAATCCTTTCTAGAGCCTTGGACCCTTTTCTTGGTTCCTACAACAAGAAAAGCTCAGATCTTGTCGAAACCTTATGCTTCCCCTAGCTACACCTATAAACCATCACTTCATATTCCCTTTCTCCCCTTTAAATCACTCTCCACACTTTCCTTCGGTTTCATACAACAAAATGACCTCAGAAATGGACAAAGCACTTCTCAACCTCTCCCTAAACGATGATGATGATCTCCCTTACACTCTCTCAGATCTCCCTCAGTTCTTTGCGACTGAGAGGAATGCATGCAGCCTGATTGGCCGAACCCTTAACCCGGAGTTTCAAAACATCTCAAACCTGATCCTTGATATGCCACGGAAATGGCAGAAGGTTAACCGAGTCAGAGGGATAACCCTTACCAAAAAAAGATTCCAGTTCATCTTCTCACATGCAAACAACCTTCAGGATGTCCTAGACCAAGGCATGCAAACCTATAACGATTGGAGTTTGGCAATAGAAAGATGGGTTGAAAACCCTCCTCCTAGCTTTCTTCAATTCGTCTCAATCTGGGTCAGGATTAGTAACATCCCGGTGAATCACTTCACAGAGCCGGCTATCACTGAACTGGGTGGTCTGATCGACCATGTCGAGCTGGTGGCTTTTGATCCTGAGAAGTCTCATAGACAGGACTATGTCCGAGTGAAGATAAAGATTGAAGTCAACAAGCCGCTTAAAAAATCAAGGATTCTTAACCTGCCTGGAGGAGGTCAAACAACGATCTTCTTCTTCTATGAAAAGATTCAGAAAAGATGCACCTTTTGTCAACGTCTTACACATGCAAAAGAAAGATGCCCTCTCTTGGCCAACCATCAAAGCGTGCATGCAGCCACTGTCAAAAAGAATCGAGCCTTCTTTAACCCAAATAATACAAGAATCATTCCAGAAGGTGATCCTCTCTTTTGGGGTTTTACAAGAAGATCAGGTGGATCTAAACCCTATCTCAGGACGACCCAAGATTCCTCCGGAAGTTCTTCAGGAGATGAGGAACTATCTTCTAGCAGCCAGTCAAGAGGACATGCATGTACGGGAACAGCGAGTTATCTTCTCGGTCAAGGAAGCTGAAAATAACCCAAAGGCACAAAATGTCTCTTCCAGTGGTATCATCTCTGCTCCGCAAGTTACAAAGGACCTGGACAAGGGAAAGGGTATAGTTTTCAACTTTGATCAAAACTCAATCGGTACTCATGCCTCTTACCTTAACTCCTCTACTCCTAAGCTGATGGCATCGGCTATAGCATCGGGTGATACATTCACAAATACACTGACCAATGTGTTTGATAGACTTGCTTTACCTCCTAATCTGTCGTTCTCAGATGGTCTAGTCAGTAACAGCTCAGGAGTTTTCTCAAGACTTACTCAAGCCTCGGAGAGTCCAAAGAAGCAATCTGGAAGATACAAGAAAATCCAGAAGAATCAAAAGAAACCAACCAAGACTCAAGAACCCAAACAAAATATGAAGAGAAAGGCAGAGGACGATATTGCAGACTCGCTCTCTCCTTCGAAAAAGGCGAATCAAGGCAAGACAAACGCTGGTCTCTCAAATAGGAAAGATGAAGATTCATCAAAGTGCTCTATCTCAAGTTCTGCTACAATGACGGGCCCAACGGAGGGACCGTCCAACACGTAATCAAGTATGAGCTTTATCAGTTGGAACTGCCGGGGTTTGGGATCTCCTCATGGTCTGACAGTCCAACGCCTCGTGGAACTACGACGTACGTATTTTCCAGAGGTTCTTTTTTTTATGAAAACTATGCATCCTAGAAAGGTTCTAGTTGATTTGCAAGTTTGGTTAGGATATGATCATGTCTGCACTGTAGAACCTGTAAACTCTTGGGGGGGGGGGGTTGGCTCTTTTTTGGAAGGACAGTGTAGCTATTAACATTTTGTATGAAGACAAAAACGTTTTGGATGTAAAAGGTAGCTATCAAGACAAATGTTTCTACTTTTCTTGTGTGTATGGTAATCCAAATTATAGGCTCCGGCATATAGTTTGGGAAAGACTATCTCGTTTTAGCTTAAATAGGAAAGGTAGCTGGTGTATGTTCGGAGACTTCAATGAGATCCTCAACAACTCTGAGAAGATAGGTGGTCCTAGAAGAAGTGACTCTTCTTTCATAAATTTCACAAACATGTTGGAAATATGTGGAATGACTGAGCTTCCTAATGCAAGTAACGGTTTTACTTGGAGTGGAAAAAGATGCAATAAATGGATACATAGTAGATTGGATAGAGCCTTCGGTAATCAAGAGTGGTTCGATATCTGTCCTGCTTCAAACCAAGCCTTTTTAGAAAAGAGAGGTTCGGACCATAGACCAGTTTTGATAAAACTTATCTCATCTCAAGATTCCTATAGAGGATCCTTTAGATTTGACAAAAGAATGTTTCTTAAACCCCAAGTTCTTGAAACAATTATTGAAGCTTGGAATCCCTCCAACACAAGTCCCCACTTTAACGTTGCTTCAAGAATCAGATCTTTTCGGAAAGCCCTAAGCAGATGGAAAAGAGACAATCAGTCCAACTCCCAGCTAAGAATCACTCAATTTCAAACGGCTTTGGAACAAGAGCAATCTCTGCTCTCACCCTCCTCCAGTAAGATTGATTGTCTCACAAAATCCTTGTTACTAGCATATAAAGATGAAGAAAATTTTTGAAAGTAAAAATGTAAAGATGATTGGATTCTCCATGGGGATGGAAACACCAAAATCTTTCATACTGCAGTCAAGATAGCTCACTCAAGAAATAAAATCTCCAAATTGAAAGATTCACAAGGCAACACCAAACAGTCAGAAGCATCTAAAGCTCAAGTGGCCATACACTATTTTAGCGAGCTTTTCAGGTCCTCTAACTCAGTGGACTATTTTAACCTACTACATGACATACCAACAAGAGTTACAAGGGATATGAAGTATGTTCTTACTAAGATAGTCACAAAAGAAGAGGTCAAGGAGGCAGTTTTTTCTATCAAACCAGATAGTTCCCCTGGATCCGATGGTATGTCTGCCTTTTTCTTCTAAAACTATTGGGAGGTAGTTGGTGATCAGCTCACCAAAGAGGTTTTGCATTTCTTCAAAACTGGAATCATGCCCAAAGAATGGAACTATACACAAATATGTCTCATCCCTAAGAAACCTAACGCCGTTACTATGTCTAACCTAAGACCCATAAGCCTTTGTACGGTCATGTACAAAATGATTTCAAAGATTATAGCATCAAGAGTCCAACCTTTTCTCCCTGAAATAGTGTCTCCAACACAATCAGCCTTTGTCTCTGACCACCTCATCTCGGATAATATAATTTTGGCTCACGAAGCAGTGCATAGTCTGAGATCGCATGAAACTATCTCCAAGTCTTTCATGGCTGTAAAGACTGATATGTCAAAGGATTTTGATAGAGTTGAATGGAATTATCTTCATAGGTTGCTCTTATCATTAGGCTTTGATAGCATTTTGGTTAATTGGATTATGCCCTGTGTTTCTACGGTTAGCTATCTGTTCTTCTCAATGGCCAATCTTATGGTCTCATCTCCCCGGAAAGAGGACTACGACAGGGAGATCCCCTACCCCCCCCCCTTTCTTTTTGTCCTCTGTACTGAAGGTCTCACTCATATGCTCAACCAGGAAATTACTGCCAACTCCTTGACGGGAATACAGTTTGATGTTTTGGCCCACAGCTTCATCACTTGTTTTTTGCAGACGACAATTTGTTTCTCTTCCAAGCAGATATACCTCAATGCCATGTCTTTCAAGAGATAATGGATAGATATAATGAAGTAACAGACCAAGTAATCAACCTCTCCAAATCCTCTCTTACTTTTGGTAAAAATGTGTCTGTCGAGAAGAGACTTCAGATATAAGAAATATTAGGCATTACCTCTGAAGGTGGCGCTGGAACATACCTAGGTTTACCGAAGTGCTTTAGTGGTTCTAAAATAGAAATGCTATCGTATATCAAGGATAAAATGAAAGGAATAATGTCAAGTTGGTACACTAATTTTCGGTCCCAAGCTGGAAAAGAGATTGTTATCAAGTCCATCGTAATGGCCATGCCTATTCATGCAATGACCTGTTTCAAGCTCCCCAAAACCACTTGCAGTAACTTCTCCTCTGCAATGGCTTCCTTCTGGTGGTCTGCAACTGAAGACAAAAGCAAGGTTCATTGGATTAGCTGGGATAAACTATGTGTCCCCAAAGACCTAGGCGGTTTGGGATTCAAAGACATAGGAATTTTTAACCAAGCTCTTCTTGTTAAACAAGCATGGAGAATCCTCTCTAATGAAAACTCATTTCTTTCTCGTTTCTTGAGAAGTAGATATTTTCCAAACGGAACCTTTTTAGAAGCTACTCCTGGAAATAGACCCTTCTATGCTTGGCAGAGCATTATCCATGGGAGGGAACTGTTGGTCAAAGGTTTAAGACCTATGATTGGGAACAGACTCTCAACTTTTGTTTGGTCATCACCATGGCTCATTGATGGAGACAAAATGCGCATCCCTCTGATTAAACAATTCCCGATGGATCTCGATCTCAAAGTCTCAGATCTCATCAATCCCAATTCTCTTACTTGGGACCTAAGGAAGCTCCATCAAATCTTCTT